GCGCTATTGTGTCATGTTGTGGAGGGATCGTTTTTGAAGATGGCTATTGTTCCACTTTGGAAAAAAACAGGGGTCGCCTTCTTTGGTTGAGAATATATCGAAAAGTCAATGGTCAACCCACAAAAAAATGAAAATAAAATAAAAGATGACATGTTGATTACCTTTTTTTTCTGTGCAGCTATACCCGTGAGAGTTCTGAGCATTTTTACAAGAATTTTGAAGTATGGGCATTTAGCACTGGTGTCTATGGGAATTTTAATACAGGGCTGCACCCCAAGACCTGTAAATCGACTCCCAAAGACATTAGTGATAACTACACTTCCTGATTGTTTTTACTAATACTCTTGACTGTAGATCTCCAACGCGTTTGTTTGAAACTTTCATTGAATACATGTAGTATTTCTTGAGTTGTTGCCCCCAAAATGAGTTAATTATGTATTTCAAAATTAGAATTTCGTCCAGTGATTTGTCATGATGACTGCGTAACATTATGAGATTTAATATTATTGGGAAACTGTCAAACAATGAAATAATCATACATGTTTGACCGAAACAAATATAGTATCTTAAACGCGAAAAATACAAACCGAATGAAAACAGAAAGTCAACGTCCAAGAAATATGACACACTCGTTTTTTGGGGGCCGGGCAATAACCCGAGCCTATACCAGGCCCAGATGTGTTAAGTTGTAAGTTCGGCCAGTAATCGGTCTTGATGTATTACTCATGAGGAGATTCTATTTCCCGAGAAACCGTCAAACAACTAATGAAAGTTTATTTCGATAAAGGGCGCGCTAAATAAAACTAGTGTTAAGTTTCCATCAATAGAGGGGGCGCCTCGTAAATAGTGGTCTCCACAAAGAGAGCAACTGCCAAGCCCCCATTGGCAAAAACCATAAACGTAAAAACACTATCTGCAATTGTGTGTTTTCTTGTGGTGTCCACCCCCCCCCAGCTTGTAATGTGGCCCCTCCCTCCCCCCTCCCACATGTCCGGAGCTGGCCATGGTGCTGCTCCTCAGACACTCAGGTTAATACTGATTCCCGATAAATTTCTCTCATCCAAACTTCATTGAAGAACAAAAAAGGCTTGTTTCCGGTGTCATATGAAAATCAGACTCCTGTGAAAACTTATAACACCTTCACCCTAGTATTGGTTCCGAATGTCTAACTTTGGTAAAGTAACGTATTTACCAAATTGAATTCAATGTACAAGTTAGGCCTACCTAGATTGCACACTTGTTATGCGGGTAATGAAGATACCCTGAAACATTTTTATATTTTCGCTCAACTCAACCGGGTGCGAAAACGCTTGCCCGTGTTTCAGTGCATTTGCAAAAAAAGGTTTTGTAGTTTTGAATGAGCGAGGGTGAAAAATTTGACTAAAATTTGAATGAAGACTTTGCTGCTTTAAAACTCACATAATTATGTCTTCTACAAACATTACTACATGTGATTGACTTACTAGCACCCTATTATCGGTTAAACTCTCTCGTATGAGCGGTCACTCTACTAATTATCACCAGCTAGACACGCACTATAATATTAATGAGTCTGTATTTCATAGGGTCCTAAATTCACGCTACCCCGGATAAGAGACATCCCGGCGGAGACACGCCCAATGCAGTATCATTTATTAATCCTCGGAAGGATTTCTTTTCTTTCTAAAAAAACAAACAAAGAAATGAGTTTGAATTGCACCATAGTGGACCAATGACATCTTAAATGTCATTATTGTTTTTGTTTTGTTCTTGTGTGCCAAATTATTTTCATTGGATTTTTAACGTGTTAAAAGTTTGGTCTTAGAGTTTAATTCCGATGAAATGATTGTTTACGATTTAATGAAATTTTAATTGTTAATGTGACACTATCACAGCATTGTTAAAATGCAGTTTTAATTCTATTGCAAATGATTATTTTATTGTACAAAACGTGTTGTTTATTTTCAAGTGCATTTACATTTCATAATATCATAATATCTAAAACTCTACTTTTTGATAATATGGGACTCTTCATGCCCCTTGTAATACACTCTGGACGAATGAAATCAAATTCTCCGGAAAGTAGAATTGAAAAGACATTTTGAATATTTACTTAAAAAAAAGGTAAAAAAAATCGTTTGTCGTCGAAATGAACGAGCAAATACCAATCTGATTCTTGTGAACAAATGTTTTATTAAATACTTATATCAGGGATTATTATTAACAATTCTAGTCAATTTGATATTGAAAATATTTGCACTAATTCAGTGAATTACTTTGTATTTCTGTATAGTTATTTTGTTGTTTTGTCGTCTTGAATTTGGGGTTCGTGTTCAAGGCCCGGTACAGATGTGTGTCGAGGGGGTAAGGGGTTGCAAATGGGAGGGGGCAACAAAACTGATATCAATAATTGAACAAGAGCAGTAAATATTACTAAGACGATGGTGTAGTCCACTCGTTTCATTCCCCCCATGGATTCTTGAAATATAATAATTAATAATTTGGGAGGCTAATCATCCTTACTCGCAGCTGGGATGCTGAATTGCAAAAGACGCGGCTACAATGTGGTCGGGCCGCTGGCACGTAAAGGCGCCTATGGCTGCCTACCACATCGACCCATATATGACCACGGAGCACAGACTGAGATCGAAAGTGTTTGATTTTGCCGGAGGGAGGAAAACCGGAGGGCACGGAGAAAAACCCTCGTGGCACAGGAGAGAACCAACGCACAACTCTACTCACACGTGATCCGCGGCCAGGATTCGAACTGCGGTCACCTTGGTGAGAGGCGAGCATTTTACGGAAAAGCCACCCAGGCCACCAAAATGCTAGTATAATGTAGTCAGGAAAAATAATGAAGGAAAAATGAAAGGCTTTCGCTTTCGTTTCTGTAACGGCCCGCTTGCCGGGTATCAGGCCCTTTTACCTGCCCCCTTCCCCTCCACTCCCCACCTAACATAACTGGAAGCACATGAACAATTTGGTTCTGTATCCGCCGTGATGGGGCAGGGTGTTTAGGCCGTTTGGGTCCGAAGGTTGTAACGCATTAATTAGGTGGTTGCGTCCGCAGATTGATGGTAGATGGCTGAGATGGGGGGTTGGGGTTGGCAAAGCCTTGGTGAGAGAGGCTGGATAGGGTAAAAGTTGAACCCACGTCAGCTTATGGGCAGGTATGTTAGGGGCAGGGTCGTTGCCAAGTGCAGCAGTGAGGTCTGAGTACCCGATTTAGTAAACATGGTATGCGCATTGAACAGGCGGCCAATTCCTGAGGCTAGACGGCGTACTACGAAAGTCCTTTCCTCTTTGCCACTGGGTATAGCTGTCCCAACACTCCCCTCCCCCCGTGATTTTCAAATATCCGATGGCAGATTTATTTCAGTAAAAATATTATTACTGTACGTTCCCATCGTCGTCAAAATCATGGTCCCGGCCGGATGATGAGAAACGATAAGTCACTTCAAACTCAGTGGCGTAACCCGGAAAGCCAGGGAGGGCGTGCCTCACCACTCAGCCTGCCTGGGATTCGGGTGAGGCGCTTAACTCTTTGAATGCTTCCTCCAGAAAATGAGGAGTCTTAATTAATTCCCTTTAATAAACCACGCCAATGTGTAATACTTCGCGGCGTATCTCGAGAAAATACTAGGTTTAAAAACGACACACCAAAGAAAGGTATAAGAATAGGTACTGTTTGGAATTGTGGGCAGTATTGTTCCGCTAGAAATCAGGCACACTCAGGGGCACACTTAGTGATAATTTTGGACTTTCGGTAGAATATGGGCCACCGTCTTCTCAAATTTTCTTAGTAGGTATTCTTATAGGCCGGTCTATTTTAGTGGTGAACTGTTAGTTGTCATCAGCAGAAAATTGATGTGTGAATAACTAAAAACAGTGGCACTCGATAGGTTACCCAACGAAAAACAAATTTCACTACACGACTGTTAATGCTGTAAAAAATAGATGTACTCTTCCTCTTCCTGTCGACGAAAGTATTAATAGAAAGGGGGAACAACAGCACTCTAGCATTAAATAAGCACCCCTTTCAATGCCTCAGCATATTGGTTCGGGATCCGTCGTTGGCTTCCCAGGGTGGTTAGTAGTGGGAAGGGATGATGGGGGCAGGGGTTCAATATGGAGATTCGTGCTTGTCTTGGAGATCAGGGTATTGAAGGCTAGTGTTTCCTAAGGAAAGAAGTCTGTTGCACATGGTTGAATCAAAGCAGTTGGGTTAATTTGGGATTAGGTTTGATTAGGCGAGGGTCAAGGTCAGAGTTGTGTGTTTAGTTTTAGGTATAGGTTGGGCTCAATAAGCAGAGGTGGAAGGGCCTCAATTAACGAGGAGGGGGTTCTGCAGTTGCAAGGTCGATTGCATGCCGAGAAGTTGGCCGGGCCGACAAGTTTGACAAGAGGATGGGGATAGATGAATGGTTATAATTAAGTTGCCTTTGGGAACGGCTGCAATCTGCAAAATAAGTATACTTCATAGTAAGAGGGCGGCAACTATACATGCACCTAATAAATTACTACGCTTTCGTTGTTCCATCAAAAAAAGTAGATTGCATAACCTGACTACAAAATACCAGCCACCAAATGCGTGGCTCCATTAAATAACACGAAGCGCAAAACAAACACTGATTGAAACACGTATGGCCGATGTACGTCATTATTCTATCCACCAATCAGAGTTAGTCAGCCAACAAGTCGGTGACCACAAGTGGTGGTCTGTGATTGACGGGTGCCAATCACATTCCACATGTTTGAAGGTGTCACCGACATCCATATAGTCATTCCACCAATCAGATGCGTCTATTTGAGTGTCGGTGATACAAACTTCGGGTTTAACGTGTGGCAATGTAACATTAACAGTATTTCCCTCTCATCAATATGAAGCGGTCAGTGATGTGTGATTGACAGCGCGCAGGGGCCAATCACAAACCGTGTATGCAAGTTCCTCAATCACTGCTCAGGAAATCGACGTCAATATTTAAGTCACAAGCTGCCGGCTCACTCCTCACAACGACCGCAACTCACGTTCACGTTCAGACAACAACCCGAGAGAACTGTTTGCAAGATCGAACAAGAATTGCACGGTGAGTGTTTAAAACAGTCTTTACGATAATTCTGCTGACTTCTGGATTGTTTTTTATATATATATGATATTGACACAAATGTGCTCAGTATATCCAGAACAGTACGCTGCAAATATTTCCGAAAATGATGATTCCATTCCCATTCTGTTATTCGATAACTTATCATGCGATATTGGTGCTTGAATCATAACCAGGTATTATGATGCATAGACTACAGCTGAATTAACTCTAGTCTGAACAGTTGATGCGGAATCAGACCAACATTTTGTGAGGCCAAATCAGGCAATAATAATAACTAAAAGCAAATAGTCACGAGTTTTGTATTTGTTCGGAATAAGGGATTCCTGTCTGACAATATTTCAGCTCCTACTTACATAGTGAACTCTCGACGCATTTTAATTGCCCTAAATACTGAATAGTGAAAAACAACACTATAAATTCCTGGAAGTTTTATAGTTTTTATTGCCATTCAGATTGGCCGGTTTTCCAGTCAAACATGGCTGTAGCTTTTTAAAGAGTGTATTACATCAAGTTCCATATTGTTATTGAAGTTCATGCACTTGCACAATTTTGTCAGACGATACATTTAAACTTTTTCGTGTTCAAAGAAAGAAATCTTGCGAAAACTCGACACTTGAACCATAATATCAGTATGACCATTCACCCCTTTATTTTCTCGCTAGTTTTCCCTGTTTACTGTTTCAAACATATAATCCCGATGCAATGCGCTCACCTTTTTTTCCCCCGGCAATCACTCTAACTAGTTCAGGATAAAAGGTTATGCGGAAGTTGGCAACGGAAGAACGTATCAAGGAAATCGGGACATTTCAAACATCCTGTCCTTTTTTGTGTTATTGCAAAATGGGATAATCTCAATACCTTTTGCAAAATGTGTTTTTAAAGTGTGTCATTTCGCTTGTTCACAGTACGCCATTCCGGTTTGATTACTACATGGGTGCAGGCCAGCAAATTAGTCCGAAATTGCCTATGCCGGCCATATAACGATTTGCATGTCCTCAAATTCTTCATTTTCAAAGCATTTTGAAGGCCGTGAACTTGATGATTTGTAAAAAAAAGTTTAAAGCCGTGCAGAGGACTGCCAGCTCTTAATTCTGTAAAATGTGGATGATGATTCGGCCCTAAAATGCCTCTATTTTGCAGTGGAGCGTAGGCGTCCATTTTCAAAATGGCGATTGGCTTCAGGCCTGCTTTTAGGGATGATCTTCTTTGATCACCTAGATGATTGAACCCAGGAAATTGAACAGAAAATGAAGGATAATGAAATAATCTTTAATTTGATGAACGTCTTGAACAGTCCTCAAAGAGATATGTGTATTTTACCTGAATTTCTGAAGTGGGGACATACAACTTTTAACATTAGGGTATATTCAAATGTATTACTGGTCTGCAACGATAGGTCTAAGCGTTACTTTCAAGCGTTGCGGGATAAAAAGTTTCAATTGTCAGAATATACTTTAGGGCGCAACGAACAAATCGGATTATGATCACACACATGTTATTCATGTTAAAATTGCCCCTCGGACAAGCGAACAACACAAAAACAGGAGAAACAAAGGGATTAAACGAAAAAGAAGAAAGAGGTGCGAATATCATATTGTTGTTACTTTAATTGGTTGGGGTGCAAATGTCCCTGGACACCCTCAAAAAATTATCAATCGGGAAAATGATATGGGGGGAATGTGCTTTGTCCTCCTCTACACCAAAAAAATCCTGGCGATGCCCATGGCTGGATACATTTGTAGAATCATGTTAAGAGTTGAGGTTTGCACAAATTATTCCAGCGTCAATTTAGATCTTGCATCTTCCCTTTAAAAAAGAAGCAGATTTCTTGTCCTAATTTTACCCGGTTCTTCATATTGGTTAATGACGAAACACGCACGAGATTTTTTCTTTCATGTTTACGTACATTCATTCAGTTTCGTAATACAAACCTCCCCCCCCCAAAAAAAAAGAGAACTAAAAGAACTAAAAGAGAGATATGCATGCAAACTATAGAAACAAGATTGAAGACTGCATTAACCGTTTATCGTGATGGCGATAACAAAATAAATTTGATTGATTTTGAGTATCTTTTTAATTATCTCCTTATTTCCACAGAGTGATTACAAGTAACAAACTGGTTCATATGGTCTAAATATGAAAAAAAAAGTATAGTTTGGCGCAATAAACCTCATTTTGGACGTGTGCTCAAAATGTCATTCTTTCTATAATCTAGCCACCTAACAGCGTTCCTGTCATGTTTCCTTCCCTGACAATTAAAACAAAAGTGTGTAAATTGCTTCATGAAATTAATATTTTCAAGGGCGAATCCTGAGAGTTTATTGCCGGGCGAAGTTTGAGCCGGGAGAAAGGGTGAGGGTGGAAGGGCTCTCTCAATCGAAATTTGCCTTTTTTGATAAATATTCGGTCACTGCCGGGGGAGGGCGCCCCCTCCGCACCCCTAGAGCCGCCACTGATCTGGCTAAACTACCGAATTTTATTAAACATGTATGACTTTATTGAACGTAAGCATGAGGTTGAATTCCCGAGCTGGACTGAAATCCAAAGCAAAATATATTCAATGCAAATACGTCAATTGCCTACTTTTTTAAGCGTATAGTGGAGATACCCTTAAATAATTTGATCGTTCGCTAAATTCAACTGGGTTTGAGAAGGCTTACACGTTTGTATGCGAATTAGATGGAAAATGTTCACACATATAAAGTAAGGTGTGAAATTGGACGGGAAAAACATATTTAAATGAAGAATATCCGGTTTTAAAAACTCAGATAATTATGCTTTCAAAAAGATTCAATGACTTACTTGTGCCTCAAAAATACACAGATTTTTTTTTTTTTTGGTATAATGAATTTGAACAAAGGCTTTCATGAAAGCGTTTGAATCAATTTAATGTTGATTTCCGGGAGCATTCAGGTTCCAGAGAAAAATGTCACGAAGCGTCATTAAAACATGTTGCTTTTTCTGGGCGTATTCGGTCACGAAAATGCAATTAATCTTTCACCATTGTTTTTTTTTTGTGAATAATTGTTCCTGGTTTCGAATGATTATTGATCAAAGTGAAAAAAAAACCTCAAAGTTGTATTAATATCAATGATTAAAGTGTTTCTTTCTTTACTCAAGCATAAACGTTACCGGTTTTCTTTGTTTATTATTTTTCAGCCTACAGTGAACTCCTTTTGATCTCTTCTTGGACCTGATCTTAAAGACTTCAAGACCGAACCATCGAGGTCGGTGTGATGATGTTTAATTGATTCTATCATGAACGTGGAAAGGGCGTGCCGTCACATAAGACAAATAATGTAATTCGGTCTCCTTTACAAACTTTTATCGGCGGGCAAAACAATAATACTAACAAGTTTGGATTGCCCGTAGTTGCCATGGCAACAGATTGAAAAAGAACCCTTCATTTTATCTACATGTTATCCCCTTGCTCTCGGATAGGCCACTGCCGACACATTCTCTGAATAATGATTCTTCCAAATTATGTCTCGTATACAAATTCTTCAGTTTATGTAGTGATTTTGTTTGTAATTTTAGGCCCTGTATTGTTTTCCTTTCAGATGAAGATCTGCGTGGCCACCATTCTGTCAATCGCCCTCCTTCTGGATAACTCTGTCAAGCTCCGAGCTTCCGTTACTGGGCCGGTTCCCTCGGATGGCGATGGTCCTGCATCTCAGGTGTGTCAGCAGTGCTGCCAGGGACCAGCTGCAATACCCGGCATACCAGGTCTGCCTGGCCCAGTAGGGCCGATGGGGCCGTACGGTCAGCCGGGGTCAAAGGGCGATGCAGGTCAGCAAGGTGAGATTGGCCCTATTGGACCTATGGGTGATCGGGGAGCACCTGGGAACACTGGGTTTAAAGGTGATGATGGGATTGGTCTGCCCGGCAAGATAGGTCCGAGAGGGCTACCTGGTGTTGTCGGAGGAACCGGGGAAACTGGTGTCAAAGGTCAGAAGGGTGAGCTAGGGGAGACAGCAGACGACTCCAACAAGCGGGTGGCATTCACCGTGGTGAGGACGAGCAACTCGGATACCTCTACGAGTCAAGACACCCGTTTGCCCTTCCAGCAGACTGAGACGCTTCTGCCAGGTACCAGCTTCGATCTCGAGACCGGCACGTTCACATGTAGTGTGCCGGGGACCTACGTATTTACGTTCTCTGTTCTTAAGTATAGCAACGGCGGTTACCTTTACATCCATCTTGTTAAAAATAACTACAAAGTGATCAGTACCTATGGTACATCAAATCAACTTGGTCAGTTGTCTGGTAGCGCGGTGCTGGTCCTGCAGCGAGGAGACTCGGTGTATGTTACCATGTCCGGTAGGGCGCAAAGTGGTTCCAACTATCACTACACCTCATTCAGTGGCTTCCTCCTTTTCTCCGAATAGATAAATATTTCACTTAATAAAATTAAATAAATATAATGAGATCACAACCCATAAATATACAGGAGCAATGCTACACTACGCTTTCCATTTTGCCAACACGGTGACCAATGAATTAAAAGAAAAAATGTTCAATGTCATAATAATAAGAAAGATAATTGATTCTTAATACAAAGCATTTTACATTCAAGTATCAAAACTACGTAAAAACAGTTAATTTAAAAGAAGTTAAATATATGACTTTTGAAAAAGAAGGTTTTAGATGCGATTGAAAAACACTTCAAATGCATTATTTTTCGTTAAAATAACGTGGAAGTCTGCACGGTCACTATATGCCTTGCCAGGCTTTGGACGAACTTTAGGAAGGTTAAACTGAACCCATCACAGCTTTTAGTGCGAATGTTAAACGCATGAACTGATATTTACTCTGTGAGGTACCGTAACGCTGCCTCACCATGGCGGATAAGTTTGAAAAGTAACGAAAAATCTTGAATTCATTCCGCACCGTAACCAAGAGCCAACGTAGTTCCTGAAGTACGGGCGTACGACCCTTCCTTCTGCATATATGTTGTCATTTCTTAAACTGGTAATCGTATGAAAAAAAAAACATAAACCGTTACAATAGTCTGTCTTGGAAGTAACAAATGCATGTATTAATTTTTTTTTTTTTTTTTTTTTTTCATTTGCATAACGCATACCGTATACAGCCAGAGATTAAATGAAGCCTGGTGATATCATTTATTTATCCTCGGAAACTGTTTTTCTTGAAAAAACCAACAGTTTCAAATTGAGCCACAGTGAACCAAGAACTCTCAACTTTTGTTAAACACTTTATTTTGTATCCCATGTTATACATGTATAATTGAGTTTTGTTTCATGTTAAAAGTCGAGTTTTAGAGCGTTCACTATGATGAAATTGTTTACGATTTAATGTAATTTGAGTTGATAATGTGACACTATATCAGCAGATTACGCGATTATGATTATATAGTATATATTTGATTCTAAGAAACATTTTTTTCCAAGTATACATTTGAGGATGTGCTCTGTTTAACAGCTTAACTAATTTAAGCACAGAAATTAATCATATAACATGTAATCAGTATCGAATATAGATACTCAAAAACTGTATTTTGAACATTACTTTAATTGAACATTTAGTTTTTAACAATGTGGAAAACCTTGTCCCACTCGTAATACAATCCATCGAATTCCTCTCAAGAAAGTGAAATTACAGAGAAAAAATTACCGTTTACTGAAGAGAGTCAATAAAATCGTTTGTCGTTGAAATGAACGAGCAAATCCAAATCTGAATCTTACGAACAAAATAATTTCTTATTAAGTACTTAAATCTGTGATTATAGTTAACAATTCTAATCCTTTGATAATACAAATTATTGCAAACAAAGTCAGTTAATTACCTGTATTTTTTGTCCATTTTTGTTTGTTTTGACTTCTAGATTTGGGGATCGTGTTAATGAAAGGCCGGGTTAACATTGGTTGAGGATGGATGGGGTGGAGGATGAATGATTAGTGGTGTCGAGGGGGTTAGGGATTGAAGATGAGGGGCGGTGAGCAAAATGTGATGCCGATTGTTACTTACTATCTTTCAATAATTCATCAAGAACAATGAATGGCACTAAGACGATGGTGTAGTCTACTTATCCCATTTACCCCACGGATTCTTAAAATGCTAAAACATGTAGACAGAACAAAATGAGAAATGAAAAATGCTGGATGTCAGGCCCATGTATCTTTGCCCCCCCCCCCCTTCCCCAACACAACCAGAAGCCCACCGACAGTGTTGTTCTGCATCCGCCTGGGAAGGGCAGGGTGTTCAGGTTGGCTTGGGTTTGAAGGGTGATAGAGATAAGGTGGTTGCGTTTCGCAGATTAATGGGAGATGGGTGAGAATGAGAGGGAGAGCATTGGTGAGAGAGGCTAAATAGGGGTAAAGCTGTACGATTTCCTCATACGCTCATCTTACAAACGCCGGGTATGTTAGGGCCAGGGTTATCGCCACGTGCATGGGGGAGGTGGGTGTGTGCAGAGGCGGATACAGGAATTTTAGCAGGAGGGAGGGGTTCATCGGCAAAACAAATCTGAAATGCAGACAGGTTTCTTTCTCGGACACTTGGCCGCCAAATTAAAGGTGGACATTATTATTGTTACCAGTAAAACATGTTCTTCCGCAATGTTTAAATATCTGTTGGCAGATTTATTTCAGTAAGAATAGCTTTGCTGTACGTTCCCATCGTGGTAAACCATGGCCCCGGATGCGAATGTTCTTTTCCTAAACCACACCCACATACATGGTTGCTTAGCGCCCTCTACGATACTTTTATGATACGTACGCAGGTATATATTTATATTTCCCCCCAAATTTTGGCGAGCAGTGTGAGAGCTGAGTCGATAGGGTTGTGATTTTGCATTGCGAGGTTGCAGGTTCGATTCAACGCTGTTTTGTTCCCAATTGTTTTTTCTAACCTTAGACTTCGGGGAAATTTTGTTAAAGGGAAATAAAGTCCGAATTTCATTACGTTCGAATTCATTTCTTTTTTTCTAATTCATATTTTCTTCTCACTTTTTTAGAAAAGTAAATTCCAAAACGCCGTAGCGTACACCCATTATGCGAATGACGTTTTGGAGAAAAATCAAATTCGCGCCCATGCAGGACGGTAAAGGGTGCACACCGGTAAATAGGCCTAAACCCATCCGCTGAGTGCATGAAAGAAAGTAAAACCCTCAAAATATTCTATATTAGAGAGTTCTGCAATTGTGTGTTTTCTGGTGGTGTACCCCCTCCCCCAGCTGGTAATGTGGCCCCTCCCTCTCCCCCATGCCCGGAACTGCCAATGGCGCTGTTCCTCAGAAACTCCGTTTGAGACTGATTCCCGAAAAAAATTATCTAATCCAAAATTTCATTTAAGAAAAAAAAGCTTGTTGCCGGTGTCATATGAACATCAGACTCCAGTGAAAACTTATAACACCTTTACCCTAATATTGGTTGAAAATGTCTTACTTTGGTAAACGTATTTACCAAATTGAATTCAATGTACAAGTTACCTAGATTGCACACTTGTTATCCGGGTAATGAAGACACCCTGAAACATTTTTATATTTTCGCTAAACTCAACCGAAGGCGAAAAAGCTTGCCCGTGTTTAAGTGGATTTGAAAGAAAGTTTTGCATTTTTGAATGAGCGAGGGTGAGAAATTTGACTAAATTTGAATGAAGATGCTACTTTAGAACTCACATAATTATGTCTTCTACAAACATTAATGTGATTGACTTACTAGCACCCTATTATTGGTTAAATTCTCTCGCGTGTCAATTCTCACCACCTAGACACGCACTATAATATTAATGAGTCTGTATTTCATAGGGTCCTAAATTCACGCTACCCCTGATAAGAGACACCCCGGCGGAGACACGCCCAATGCAGTATCATTTATTAATCCTCGGAAGGATTTGTTTTCTTTCTAAAAAAGAAAGAAAAAAAATGAGTTTAAATTGCACCACAGTGGACCAATGACTCTTAAATGTCATTATTGTTTTTTTTCCTTGTGTGCCGAATTATTTTCATTGGATTTTTGACGTGTTAAAAGTTTGGTCTTAGAGTTTAATTCTGATGAAATAATTGTTTACGATTTAATGAAATGTTAATTGTTAATGTGACACTATCAGAGCATTGTTAAAATGCAGTTATAATTCTATTGCAAATGGTTATTTTATTGTACGAAAGGTATTGTTTATTTTCAAGTGCATTTATATTTCATAATATCTCTTTGTTTAAATGCTTAACTAATTTAGTAATATCATGTGATAAGATAAAGAATATCAATTCTAAAAAGCAAGGTTTGTGGGACATACATGTCCCTTGTAATAAACTCTGGAAGAATGAAATTGAATTCTCCGGAAAGTAGAATTGCAAAGACATTTTGAATATTAAATAAACAATAATAAAGAAATCGTTTCTCGTCGAAATGAACGAGCAAATACCAATCTGACTCTTGTGAACAAATGTCTTATTAAGCACTTAAATCAGTGATAATTATTAACAATTCTAGTCAATTTGCCGGAGGGAGGAAAACCGGAGGGCACGGAGAAAAAAATCCTCGTGACACAGGAAAGAACCAACGCACAACTCTACTCACATGTGATCCGCGGCCAGGATTCGAACCGTGGTCACCTTGGTGAGAGGTGAGCAAAGTCAGGCACAAGCCGCCCAAAATGCTAGTATACTGTAGTCGGGAAATATAATGAAGGAAAAATGAAACGCATCCCCACGCCTATCGATTCTGTAACGGCCGGCTTGCCGGGTATCAGGCCCTTTTACCTGCCCCCTTCCCCTCCACTCACAGCCTAACATAACTGGAAGCACATCGAGACTTTGGTTCTGTCCGCCGTTGAGGGGGGGGGGTGTTCAGGTCGGGTTGAAGGTTGTTAGACATTAATTGGGTGGTTGCGTCCTGCAGATTGATGGGAGATGGGTGTGATGGGGGGGGGAGTGGCAAAGCCTTGGTGAGAGAGGCTGGATAGGGTGAAAGTTGAACCCACGTCAGCTTACGGGCAAGTATGTTAGGGGCAGGGTCGTTGCCAAGTGCAGCGGTGAGGTCTGAGTACCCGATTTGGTAAAAATGGTCTGCGCATTAAACAGGCGGCCAGCTCCTACGGCCAGACGGCGTAGTACCGGAGTCCTGTCCTCTTTGCCCTTGGTTATAGCTGTCTCAACAATCCCCCCCCCCCCGTGATTTTCAAATATCCGATGGCAGATTTATTTCAGTTAAAATATTAGTGCTGTTCGTTCCCATCGTGGTCAAACTCATGGCCCAAGCCAAGGGCGGATCCAGAACACAATTTTTTTTTTTGGGGGGGGCCAACATTTTCTTTGGACCCCCCAAAAAGTGGGTCAAAAAAATTAAGGCGTGGGGTTCGGGGCCCGCTTAAGGGCCCCAAAAATATTTTGGATTCTAGATGCTCTGTGGTGCGATCTGAGGCAATT